GCGAGATGCGGATGGCAGCTTCTTCATCGACCGCGACGGCAGGCACGGACGCCCCAAATGTGACATTTTGAGCACCCGAAACAAGCGGAGGAAAGTGCCGATAGCTCTGGAACCCAATCAAGAGTTGGTGCGACAAAACTAGGGACCCAATCAGGCACAGTTCTTCAAGGACACATATGAAACCAACCTGGAGGGGTCACTTGTTCTGCTACCCACAGCGTGCAGAAATGGTCCTGGAGGCAGTTTCATCACATCCTGAACTACTTGAGGGATGGGACGCTGCCAATTGGCCGCTTGGAGCATATGGATGCCACTCAGACAGACCAAAGCGCACCAGTTTGTCCAATTCGTAGCGTATGATCAGAGACGCAGAAGTGCGCGCTGGCGCAACATAAAGCTTCCTGTCTGCGCGATGTGATCTGCGGACGGGCAGATAGTCAAGCGGTCAGATTTGACATTCCTGAACATCCAGCGGCTTTGTCCGCACCCGTTGGCACTGCTTTGGGACGGCATTGGCCGCCAAAGGTAAGTCGAGGCCACCGCCAACCTTTTCACCTTCTGGTTCTGATGTTCTAGTGTTCTCCCGTTGAAGGACGTGGCAACCCGAAAGGTTCACTTTTACTGGTGAATCCTCGGCAACTTTTGTGAGCCAATTGCAAACCAAGCATTTTCGTTTCGACGCAGCCACTGGTCCAGTTTTGACAAATGAAGCCCCTTTCCTGTGGCCACTTTCGTCTGGCTCAGAACGCAAGAGCCATCCAGAGCTGAAGAAAATCCCGATCACCCTCAAACCATTTCTCACACTCGGGCACCCCCGAAGCAAACCAATCGATCAGCACAGAGGCCTGTCCCGGGTTGATCGACTCGAGCTGCTGCGGGAGGCGGCCAGGGGGATGGGGGAGGGTGGCCTGCACCCAAATTTGTCGGCAGTTCTTGGTGTGGGTTTTCTTGGGCAGGCGGTCCTTTTTGACTACAAATCCGTGTTGTGGAAAGAGGTACCCCAAATCGTTCTATTTTGTTTGCCTCTCCGTCAAATGCCAATTGTCAGGCATGTATATGGTTCATTTCAGTATTACCCCCCTTGCCCTCGTAGGCGTGCCCAACATCGCCAGACTGCCCAAAATCAGGAGTGCCTGGACTGGTGTAGCTATGAGCACATGGTCGTTCTTTGAGTTTGGGATATAGTGGCGTTATGAGCTATACGCTTTTAGTTTTGGCACAGCACAGCACGTTTCTCAAAGAGCGGGCGCGCGGCATGAGTCAATCCTTTGGGGTGGGCCATTTTATTGAATTCAGTTTCTTGACAGCAGGCTGATATAGAACGGTGCAACTTATTTTGAAAAACATCCGCGGCACTGAGTTTGGAAGCTCAGACTGAGACCAGCTTCAATGTTGCGTAGTCGAAGGGACTTGGCTCTGCGTAGTCCATGCGAAGAAAGGTCGTGATTCAGCGTCATTTGTAGTAATTGAATAGGATGACTTGAGCCACACTTACTCGTTCGCCGCTGGCACATGTGAGGTTAGTTGCACGCCTGGGGAGTCATTTAGAATTGGACCCGCTTTCAGGACCCTGGTGACATTGCTCGTAGCGTTCCAAGGCAGGGCTTCGCTTTTGATATCTTAAAAGAAGTCAAAAAGAAATAGCATGAGTTTATTTGGGTGTCCTTATCCTATGTTAGACGGCAAGACCAACTTGACCCCTGAACATGGGTTCCTTGTTTCTGCCCAGGAAGCACCAAAAAGGAGTCCGAACGCCGAACTTAGAACATGTCCGAAGCAAACATTGAACACGCAATAGGGATACCCTCCCACCCTTTTCACATGTACCCTGACCTTCGAAAGAAAAATGGTCCAAACCAGGACCCCCCTAACGTCTGGTTCCATGTTCATTGCTGGGATTTTAGTGGTCCCAACTTTGATAAACCGACCCTCCTGTCCACTAACGCGGAACCCACAACAGGGCCCTTTAAAAGGAAAATAGCCTTCCAAGGATCAGCCAGGTTCCATGGGAAGGTAACCATGTCAGGGTATTGAATGGGAAGGTAACCATGGTTCCATGCTAGTGAATGGGACGGTAACCATGTCCGAACCAAACCTCGATCTTTGGGCGACGACATCAGGCCGACTTCTATGGCCTGAAAGCCCTGTACAGCTTCATCGGCGGGCCCACGGTGCAGGCAGCTATGATGCCGGGCACCTTAGACCGGTGACGGGACCTACATACAAAGCTCGGGCGCACAGCCTTTTTTGTTGGTCCCCGAATAAAGGAAACCAGCTGGATGGTCTATTTTTGGGTCATTCCATGTCTCAGGAAACCTGATGAGCACCAGCAAAATGCTTAAAGGATATTAAGAGAACAACTGTGAGAAAGATATTTGGCTCTCTTGGACAGGCAACATTGCGAGAAAACATGCAGCCATCAAATCTTCCAAAGAGCTGTGCCTTTCGTTGTGAAACCGGACGTTGGACGTTGAATCCTCGCCCACGATTTTTCCAGGGAGCTTGGCTGGGAAATCCCGGCCAACGGGTGGCCCGGCCGTTCACCTAGACCTATGATTTTCCAGGGGGAACCCAGCTGAATCCAGGGCAAATAGGGATAAGGGCATCCTGCATTTTCCCACATTTCCAAGCACTGCGTTGGCCATATTGAAAACCCCAACTGCCAAACGCACAACAAATCCCCAACAGGACGAAGATGGGAACGCAATGGCCGATGGGGTTGGGTCAAACGGACCCCATCGAATCAAACCGAGGGTTGCGTTGTTGGGGGGCTTCTGTAAGGCAACCGTCAAGGAAACTCTGCACAACTTTTCAAGTGCAGCTGCAATGATGTCGATGTGAACCTGTCTGGCGATTCCAGCTGAGTTACAGTTTTTTTTTTTTTTTTTAAATATATATCAGAGCCATCATGTGCCTGAAAATGGGTCACCTACCCCAAAACTGGATACAGTAGACGCCCTTGGAGGAAAAGAACAAATCTCCAGGGAGCGGTGGGCCTGTTGCCTTCCTTTTGTTTACAGATGTTCCAGCTTCAACCCAATAAACAGGGGCGAGACCAGAGCTCCAAAGACCAAACTTCCGAAAATCACGCAAAGGGATGTGGACATTTTTGCTGGGCCCGAAATGGACAGCTTTTGGGGGATGTATGTCCAACGTTTGGGACGGTGTCCTCGCAAAGTTGCAGGTCAGATCAGCCCAGGGCCCAGGATAAGGCCTGATAAAGGCCTTAATCAGATCACGCCCCCCCGCCCAAATACAGCCTGCGTGGAGCGAAATATGGAATGATTCAAGCTACATATGCTCCACTTTCTCTGTTTAAGAACGGAACACCTTTTCTTGGTCCTGGTACTTCCCCGGCTGTATGCAGAGGCACAAGAAGGAGTTGCTGGGGAGCTGCCACGTCCGAAATACGAACTCCAATGATTCGCTACAACAATGTCGTCTAAGCGTAGTTCGATAATCATTTCTATGTATGATTATGCATGCATATGTATATATATATATATTCTATATAGTATATCTACATGTACTGCAAACACATGAATCTCCTATGCATGCATCATCCTGCAGAAAATAATATACTAATTTGCCTTCTTTCTTCTATCAATCCACCAACCAACACGAGCCAGGCTCCTTCTCATTCGCTACCCATCGCAAGAAAATGTGGCGCCAACCCGATCCAAGACTTGAGGACTGGTGGGGGGACTGGGCCCTGGCTTCGGAGCCTCTGGAATGAGTTGGCTGGGCCCTCACCCGTTCAACGGGCCTCCGCGGTCGAGCCATGGCGAAGTCTTCTTTGGTTTTGAAGGGAAACCGAGGGAGACCGAAATCCATTTTGGGGGGTTTAACCTTAAAGGACACCCACGTGTTCCTGTTAGTGTCATAGGTCTCCTTAGGTTTGGAAATGGATAGGTTCCGCTGCTTTTGGGTTTTCCGTAGCCGTACCCATCGATTTGCCCAAAAGGTCGCCTTTGGGTCGTTACCAAACAGTTTGGCCAGAGCTCCGTGGACACCGTGCATGGCAGGGGCAAAACACCTTGACTTTGTGCAATCCGATCCTTTCCTTGCGATCGGTGCGATACACAGGGAATGAGAAATCGAATGACCCTTATAAACCATCCCCTATGGTTGCCTTTCTCTGAATTCCCTTTGGTTCCAATCAGATGAATCACTGCCTTTGTCAGCTGTTCGGCTGTTTCCCTGCATGTCCTAGAACAGCCCACAAAGGCATTGATTCATCTGATTGGAGCCCTAGTTGCGTAGTTGCAAGTCAAGATACGCTGCTCACACGGGGAGTGGACTCCCATTTTTGCCGTGGGGTGCCCAAAAATGGAAACAGCGAATACGTTTGGCAGATCGTTCTTGGTCCCAAGGCTATGATCCCATGGGCCGTTTGGGTGGCTTATTCCATGCGCCCATGGGTCTATTCCCGTAGCATAAGCCATCCCTTGAATGGAGCCATTTCCTTTGGCTTCACGCTCATGCCTCAGATGTGATCTTTGCCAAGCGCGTACCCTGAGCCCTCGAAGAATTTATGCCTCCCTGGTTTGGAAAGGAAATTGACACGTTGTAGCGCTGTTTTTCTCTTCACAATCGGTCTCAAGCATTTCGGCTTAACAGAACTCATATTCGGTAGTTTCATGTTCTTTGACAAAGGCGAGTTTGGAAAGAGTCATCAACGAAACGAACATGCAAAATGGTGCAGGGAATGGGTTCCGACGGGCATGTTTGCTGACAGCTCGAGATCTTTTTGTTGAAGCGTACATTAAGTTTAGAACAAGTTGTCTGAGCAGTATTTCTTCGTAGCAAAGATTCATGCATCCATGGAGGCTGCAGGTAAGGAGTTGCGTCGCGTTCGCGCCTGAGGCCAAAGCGGAAGCTGCCGACTTTTCGGTGAACAGCCACAGTCATCGAGGCTAATTGGGGGCAAGGCCATTGCTTCAGGAAAGCAAAGTCCTGTTTAATGGGAGGAACTTTAAGCATGCGATGCTGTGCTTGACGAGAAAGATCTTTTGGCATCCAGCAGTCATGAGAGTGGCGTGCCCCTGTTCCCACCAACCAAGCAACCAAGCAACCAAGCAACAAGCAAGCAACCAAGCAACCAAGCAACCAAGCAACCAAGCAACCAAGCAACCAAGCAACCAAGCAACCAAGCAACCAAGCAACCAAGCAACCAAGCAACCAAGCAACCAAGCAACCAAGCAACCAAGCAACCAAGCAACCAAGCAACCAAGCAACCAAGCAACCAAGCAACCAAGCAACCAAGCAACCAAGCAACCAAGCAACCAAGCAACCAAGCAACCAAGCAACCAAGCAACCAAGCAGCCAAGCAGCCAAGCAGCCAAGCAGCCAAGCAACCAAGCAACCAAGCAGCCAAGCAGCCAAGCAGCCGCCAGCCAACCAACCAACAACAACATCCAACAAACCAACAAGTAACAACCAACCAACCACCAACAACTGTTTGACAGTTTAGCGGCATTGTGCCTATTCCAGGCAAGAAAAATGAGTTTGTCTTTTTCGAGGGTCCCCTCTTTTTGGTGCTGTTTGAAGGACAACTAAACCACCATTCTCTGGGTCCGCTCAAGTGGCGTATTTCCAGCTTTACCCAAGGTGGCAGTGCAAACCCTTTTTGATCCTTGCTTCTTCTTCTTCTATGCCAGTCTATGCCCGACTGCGGTATGGCCAAGAGTACAGCGGCGATTGGATCGTGTCATCCCCAAGGACCGCGCGGTGATGCGAAGGGCCGTTTCTGAGATGGTAACATCCGGCTAAGTTTATGGCGTAGGAATACCCCTACAGATGGGTTGCTTCCTGTAGCAATAAACCGAATGCGAAACACCTTGGGGGTTCAAAGAGTTCAGCCATACTTAACAGCATAGGTTCCCTTTCGAGCCCTAAATCCATACCGTTCGATGGTTTTTGCACTCCTTTTCTGTGACTTGGTGAAGACCTTACCACTTGGTTCCGATACTTTCCACCTCACACATTCCATTAGAGCTCATCGCGATTCCGTTTGCAAAAGTGCGGACGTTTGAGAGGTTCCGACGGTTCCGATTTCTTCTTGCCCTTGCATCGAGGTCAAAGTGCGCCCCCTGTAAATCACTGGTTTTTCCTGGCTGGTCAAGTTCAATGGTTGAAAACAGTTGGCAGACGAGTTGACTTCATGCGTTGAGTCAAGTCTTTCAGTTCTCTGCAAATAGTTATTGTCTCCTTCAAACTCTAGGCGTGGTCTGGTTGGGATGGTCGATGTTCACCACAAGCCTAAGAAGGGATGCCTGGTGCTTGTGATGTTCTGTTCCTTCGAAACTTGCCCATTTTGATGACGCTCTGTATGTGACACTGTGCAGACAACGGAAGAGCAAAGCGTTTACCGTTGCACATGTGCAGCCAGGCGTGCATCTTGCCTTCCAGCACATAGCCTCAACAGCACATGTTTGTATTGGTTGTGCTGTTTTTGGGGTGTCCCTTCTAGTTGTCCCTGAAAACCACCCTACCGTTTAAAACACCACACACACACACCCGTTGGTTGTTATTGTTGTTCTGTAGCCTTTCCGAAGTTTTCAGCTCACTGCGACAGTGCTTCAGGCCGGGTGCTAAAGATTTGTCGAGTGTAATCACTTGACAGAAGCCTCCATGTTGAACTCGCTTTCTGAAGCTGGAAGGGTTCCCTATGAGGCGTTTGCTTCAAATTGTGTTTGGTTAGCCTTCTGCCAGATGCTGAGATCTGTTGGCTTCCAGTGTGGTTTGATGCGTTTTGCTTCGTGGACGAATTGCTGGTTATGGTGCGTTCAGGTTAAAGCTGAGAGGGTGAGGCGCGACGTTTTCAAACATGTCTTTGCATGTCAGTGGCAGCATAGGCAACATGCAGCCAGCACTTCTTTAATGTTGAAAAGTCTGAGTAAAAACAACTGAAGTGTTTTTCTGCCAATGTGTTTTTCTTCCAATCCCAATCCAAATCAGGCGTTTGTTTTTCAGATGGTCTTGTTCTGTCGCTAGATGAGGGAGAGTCAACACACTAGAACAGGCAATGCAAATCGATCTAACTGGTAAGAACATACCGTATTATCCAGGCGTTGTTTTTTCGCCTGACCCACATTTCTCGAGGAATCTTCCTCACGTACAATACGAGCTCTATGATGCGTGCCTGGCGCGCGATCCGATCACTGCTCTCAACAAGATGGGTGCCTCAGACGCGTTTGCATGAGGGACTTCCAACAGACTCCTGTAGGACACATGGCCGCAATGGTTGGTTCCAATCGTCATCTCTTCTTTGTGGAGTTGGCAAACTTTGCGACCTTGTTTGTAGGGGTAGCCTATCAAGGTCACAAAGTTCAAGTGCTTCTAGCCAAATTCTCCAGAGGCGGAGCTTGCAGGTACTGCAACCCAAAGACATGGACGCCATGCAAAAAAATGCATCGAAACAATCTGTGTTTTCTACTGCAAGTTTTTCCAAGTCAAGAAGTTGAGGTATCGACACATCTTAGGAGCATGTTGAGAAGTTTGGGTGACTTCTTATTGCCTCAACCTGTGCAAGTTTGTCAACACCTCAGGAACAAGACCATTTCAGGCGGTGTTGAAATGAGACGGCTGCCAAGAATTTGGTCCCACAGCGCTTGGCTGCGGATTCTCGTTGTGACGGTGGTCTCCAAGGCAGAGCACCCCTCCTTGAACCATGCTGGCAAGCTGAAGCCCTGAAACCAAGGCCTTAGGATGGGGCAACCTGTTGGGTTGACGGGGGGGTTTGCCCGGACTTTACCGCGCATGCCGATCCTCAGCGTAATCGCGGCTGTCGAGGGGGGGGAGGGAACGGGGAGGATGGAAAGAACACGGGTCCATGTTTCCAGCATGTCGAGGCCAATCCGCGTTTCAATCCAGTCGATCGCGCCCTACGCGCCATGTGACTTCTCCCTCTATGCGACTACACAGTCCCATTTGCTTATCTGACACGCTGCCACTTTGCCGCAGGTGGTTTTAGACACTTGGTGTCTAAGAGGGCTTGGGGTCTTCTTGCGTTTGAAGGAGCTACCTTCCCAACTGCTGGTCTTTGTCTCCACTGCGCTCTCGGCGCCGAGCAGGAACGCTTCTGTGAGCAAATATCAGCGCAGCTCATGACTTGTCTGCTTCGCATGTACAAGGCAGCCCGGCCTGGACAGCTGCATGAAGGTCTCTCACTAAGAGAGTCAAGCCACAGTCCTGGAGCCTGCCTCGAGCAAATCCTGCGCCTGCCAGCACTGAGTATCAGATTCGAATAGGCGAAGTTGGACATTTGCAGGCTTTCCTGTGATCCCACCGAAGCCACGAGTTACTGCTATTCGCATTGGATTTGCACAATTCCCAACCCACGTCCAAGAGTGACCGTCCCTCAGTCCGGGCAACCCCCCGCCGGCAGCCCAACATGTCGCAGACTGAACAACCAAGAGTCCCACACCCCTTTACAAAGGGAAACGGGGAGTGTCAAAACAATAGAGATGAGGTGAGTGACCCGAAGTAAAGAAAAGAAACATGTTGAACAAAGATTGGCCCGATTCTGCAAGACTGTGCTCTCACGTGCTGTAGGTGCTGCTGGCTTCCGACCCTGCTTGGACCCCCCGGTGGTGCCGGCCAACAATGCGTCGGTGCAAAACGACGAGTGGGAGATCATGATGTACAAGGCCGGGCTGCAAGGCGCTTCCCATTGCTTTGCGGGGAGGGAAATGATGCCTTGGTGGCTCCCAGCCATCCCCTTAGCCTTGTAGCAATTTAGCTTTGTAGTGTTCAGTGCGGATTTCCATCTAACCCACTAAAAGTTAAACTTTTGGCGGGGGATCTGAGGACAGCCCTCGTGCATGAGCAACTCTCAGAAACTGGAGGTTGTTTGGACGGCGTGGGTCAAAACCAATTGAACGCTTCTTGAACGTGCTGACCCAGGAGAGCACAAGATGTCAGATGAGGGCCTGGGATAGGATGTGGGATGTCAGGGCTGATTTGGACATTTGAACTCGGTCAGGATCATGTTTGCAAGAAACGCAAGGGCACATTGCATCGTCTTCAGCGGTACATGTTCCGAAGCCCGATCTGCATCACTAGCATCATGTGGTCATTTTTGTACAATGCCGCAAGAACATAGGGAATTAACGGGGTCAGAAAGCCAAACCCGGAAAGAAACGACAATCAGAACAATTGCACAGTTTGGTGAAAGCATCCCTCCCACGCACACACACGTCCCATTTCTTGAGCCAAAAAGCTGCAGAAAGGCGCTTCGCGTCCTGAATATGTCGAAGTGTACTTTGCAGTGACACCGAACAGTTGCCAGTTTGAACTTGATCTCTCAAGCATGTTTGTTGTGTGTACAAAGCCGTTGTGAACGGATGTGTTTAAAGTGAGCTTCGCATGCTACAAGTATAGTTGCATACAAGCTGCACAGTGTGAGCAAGAGAGTACGGCAAACAAACATGTGCTAATGATCAAGAGTTCAAAGAAGCGCTGGCCCAAAGCTGGTAATCACATTCTAAGGTGGGCTTTAGAGCTGTTTGTGCTGCATGGGATCCTCGATGGGGTGTGACCCAGAATGTCAGTCAGTGAGATGTGGGGGGCATGATGCGGGAGAACTCCAAATGAAGTTAGAATGGGAACGCTGGATGATGGGCTGGTGTTCAATCCAAAATGTTCTTTGCAACTACACTCAACCCTTTTAAATTGTGAATTCAATGTCTTCCCGAGATCCGATTGCAGACAGCTGGCGATTGCAGACAGCTGGCGCTTGCTCTTCTTGGCAGCATGGATTGCGAGGGCGTTGCTTTTGACTAATGCTCATGACATCCATCAGCCTCAGCTTCTGTTTTGACGCTCCCAAGTAGGATGCTGGCAGTATGCTGGATGTACTGCATAATTACCATTCAGGGTCGGGGGGGGCAAGAGTCGAGCTGTGACAGAATTGCGGATTCTCGAACCCCCAAGTCATTTTTCCTGGTTTGACTTGTGCAATGAACCGCCCCTGAAATTAAGTCAATTTCGGTGGTAAAGCACATGAGAGGTGGGACAGTCTCTTTGGGGATCATGATGTGGCGTGATAAAGTTGCGATGAACGCGACAGTAGAATTCTCAATCCCGTGGATGGACGAAATCCTGCACCACCTAAGAAACCCTGGACTGATGGTTCCCCCTGTAAATACCAACAAACTGTGGTGTCCCACGGTTCAAAGCGGTGCGAAATGGATTTCGTCCATCCGCAGTAGGTATGCTTACAGTATTTTACAGTTGCTGGAAGATCAGGAATGGTCAAATAGCACCGTAACGATTGCTTGCGTAAGGGCAAGACATGGCTCCCCACCGGACACCGTGACACCATCCTGAAACGACCAAGCAACCAGAATTCAAGCAGAAAGATCAGTGGTCCGTTGCCAAGCCAAAGAAGGGGGTTGGCTCAGTCGCTTGCCCCGCCTTCGTGCGCGTCAGGATGTGTGCCAGTGATCTCACAGCTGAGCGCCTGTCCGAGCAGAGTGCTCATTTGATCGCCGGCGGAGAAGATGCGCTCTTGCCCAGCGGCTTCCACTATTGGAACGGTTGTTTTGCCCTTTGGGTGGGTTGCCCTTCCAGCCAAGAAACCTCAAGACCCTTCTGTGATTCTTTTTCTCTGATTCTTCGGGTTCTTGGTAAGGCGCAACTTTGAGACGGAAGGTGTCAATGGGGCCGCCTTCAATGGGCTTTTCGTTTCCGGCAATACATGGTTGTTGTTGGGAAACGTTTAACATTTTTTGCTTATGGTGGTTTAGTGGGAAATCCCCACTGAACTGCTAAAATTATTTTGTTTGCTCCCCTTCCAACGTCAACCAAGAACAGACCCCAGGGCTCCAACTGGTTTGGCAGATAATTGCTATCAGAGCCAATGGCGCGAATGCGGTCACTCGCTTATTCAACCTCTCTACTGGAGGACCTAGTGGTAAAACCGACGCAGAGATCAGCTTCAGAGATATACCCTGTCCACATTGCCCTGGATCTCACCAGAGAAATGGTCGGAAGGAAAGTGGTCTTGCAGGTTTGTGGAGGATAAATGAACTATCAGGAAAATGGGCTGGGAACGAAGCATGTGGATGATCCTCAGAATTGGGAAAGGACCTGCGGTGATCGGTTGAGGGATATCAACCACCGTTTGGGCTTCTTTTGCGGAAACGTGCATGTGCCTGTCAGTTGGGTGTGCCCTTTTTAAGGTTTCCTCTCGTGTTGGTGGCAAAAACAGGAAACCAAAGGGCACCCCGCCGATTGCTTGATATTTGGGGGGTTCCCCTAAAACAGACGCATCCAAATGTAAGATTTGAGGATTTTGCGATAGCGCTGCGTATCGCCGCTATGCAGCTTGTGCCTGAAGGGTGAAAGCGTGTGTGGTGCAAACGGACACCAAAAACACATTGCTTCTCACGGTCGTTGTTTTCCCCGACGTTGTACGAACTGGACCTTGTCCAGCATGGCGTGTGCACAGAATGCCGCTATCTCGGACACAGAAGGCGTGGAGCCTTGGGTTTGCTCTTTGGCCACCTTGGGACCAGCAAGAGATCGGCCTTTGCAAGTACTTCATGGTCAAGAGTGCAAAGATGAGTTTGGTTAAAGTGTAGAGAGTTCTATTGTCCCGTGTGAGTCACTGGCCTTGAGAGGCTGACACTTGGAGTCGCATGTGAGGTCGCCGCGAGGTCTCTTTGTGTTTCTTCCGTTCCCCAAGAAGTGGCGCTGACGTTTTCGGCAGGTGACGCGCCCTTGCCTGGCTCTCGGGCGCTGGCTTTCAGCGCAGGGAATTGCCAGGCCGCTTCTGCAGCCGGATGAGGGGAGGGTGGCCGAACGCAAGTTATCAGGTGTCATCTTGGGCCGTGCCTTGATCTTTTGAGGGCGGGCAACAAAAAGAGAATGGTCAGGCCGAGCCTGTCAAGGGTATGGGCCGGTACCCGCGCAAATGGTTGCTTGCCCGACGTTCAGACGTTGCAGGTGCTGGGGATGCTGCAATCAATGGGCCAAACCCGCTTTCCTCCGCACCCCGCCAGCAAAGGCAACGCATACGGCGCTACGCTACAGTAAGCCAGGGCTCCCTGCCGGCAAGGCACCAAAGTGGCGCGCCAAACTCTAACCCGAAACAGAGCAGAACAGATATCGCGGAAACAAAGCAACAAACCGCACAAAGCCAACACCAGCTGCAACCAGCTCTTAAAAACAGGCCTTCACCACATGAAAATAAGCTCCAAAACCCACCCAATTCAAAATTGGCATGATTGACCGTTTTCGCCCGCCCAAATTGCGCTCAAGTGGTCAGGCAGATCTTGTGAAGGGCGCACAAATTCGGGGGGTCATGTTTAGAAGCTTAGGTCAATTTTATGTCGAAGCGCTTCTCATCGCTCCTTTGATCTGATTGCCAGGCCTACTAATAAAGCGCGCCTGCCCCTATTGTCTAAAAAACGTGTTTTATTCTTCGCCCCCATCCCCCCCCCCCGGCGCTTCGCTCAAGGGTCAGAAATGAAATCGCTTTTGATTTAGGGGTGCCAGGGAATGAACCTGGGGATTCCCGAAGAAAAGAAGCCAAGTCGGACACGGATGGTTTTGACTTCGGGTTCATGTCTCATTCCCTGCCGGCTGAGCACCAGAAGCAAAAGGAAAGCCAACAAATCCATTTTGGGGGTTCCAAAACCCCAAAACCCCATGTATATCTCTTATTCTTATTGGTAAATATGTTTGATTTCCCTCCCCACCCAACGCTTGCCAATGAATTCCCCCTATCAGACACACCAAAACCTCCACCGCTTCGGTCCAAGGCCCACGCTCTTGAGAGGACGAAGCCCTCAGGCCGCCGGAAAGGCGCGGGCGTTGAGGGAGCCGATGGTGTAAAGAGACGTGCCTTCTTGTCCTCACTCAGCTTCCTTTCAGTCCAGATGGATCATTTTGGCTGAGAACCACCTCCATGTTTCCGAGCGTAAGCTAGAAGTACCAGCCCTTCTCTGTCCATCGACTGAAGGTTTGCCCCGAAATGGCACGGTTGCAATGCTAGCCAACCCCATGCAAAGTGGGTGCGCCCCCAAAACAGAGGTCCCTTGTCAAAAGGCACCTCACAGATCCTTGGATCTGAAGAGCTTAGAGTAAGCCCTGAGCTCAAACCAACAGCCACCTAGGGCCTATGGCCAGTGGTGAATGTGCGGGTGATAAAAGCAATCGCATTCAGATGTTCCTCAATGGAAACCATTTTACACCCAGAGTGGTGTCCAAAATTGCAAGTTGCCAGCTTTTAGAGACTGAACTCTGTGTGGTTCCTTGCAGGAGAAGTGCGCTGAATTGTCTAGCAACTCCACAGAGCCTCGGCTGAAAAATGGGTTACAGGGTCTCTACAAGAACTCGCCTTCACAGGGTGAGGCAGCGTCATGTGTATATGTCTGCGTGTTTTTTAGGGGACCCACAAATCAAATGGCTTCGATTTTCCTAGAGGCTTCGGTTTTCCTAGAGGTTTCCCTCTTAAGCCACACACAAAGGGGTGCCCTCGAAAAAAGACGAGCCGCCCATTTGGGTTCTTCCCGACATCCCGCGAGTTAAGAGATCCTCAAGCAAACCAGGCATATGTGGAGGACACTGACTTTCCAGGGCCTTCTCAGAGCCTGGCTTTGGAGAGCACACAAACAGCGACACGCTTTCCTCAAGACATAGAGGCGATGTATGCCCCAGACATACGTGGTACACAAGCTCCATGCCTCCTCACATGCAAAGTCAATTTAGACTACCCGACTGTTCCATGATGTCCCGCGTTAAGTGTGAGAGCACACAAACGGTCCGCAGCACACACGTCTGAATTGATTGCGCCCAATGGCGGCAAACGCTTGCTGCTGTTTTTGGCGGCAGTGCAGAATGGATCCTGAGCAAGCCTTTGTAAAGATTCATGTGTTACATAAGGCAAGGACGCCAAGATGACGTAGATTCGGCTCTGGGCAAGGCTAGGGCAGGCTTGTGTGTGTGTGTGCCAGATACCTAGATGCCTAGAGTGAGTCGACATACTTTATACAATAGAGGCCAGCTAGAGAATAATAGAAGCAAGCTAGAGAATTCATTTGTTTAAAGAACATATCAGTAGAATGCGTGTCTAAGTAGGATGCGCGGGCCATGCTTCACTTCGAATCCATCCAGCCAAGGTTGGGCCATGTGCGCAGGCGTTCCGATTTGAGCAATCGAAGTTCTCGGAAGGGTCTGAGGGTCTCCGACGAACGAGCTTGGCAACAGAGCTCCTTAAAAGATACATGTTGCAACCAGTTGAAACATGGCTTTTTCCACCAAAATAAAGGGAAACCACCATGTACAAGTTGCAATGTTTAGGTGTATAATGTAAGGATCCCTGCTCAAGGAGCGTGGCCAAAGCGACGGCCTCTTTTGGGGGCCCCTGGGGCCCTACGTATTTAGATCTTGCTTGCAATCCCAGGCACTTCCGGTTTCCAGCCATGGCAAAATGGGAGAAGGCGGAAGAAGCCAGGGGGCGTTCCAAGAGATTCATGTAGGGCAGCAATGCATGTGACCAGAGGGGGATTTGTATAAGGGAATCGGGCATTCAAGTGCGAAGGGGGCAGGGCTCTTACTTGATCCAGGCTTGTGAGAGGGTGCATAAGCGAGCAGCATGCTCTTGGGAGTAGGGGTATCAAGCACTCGTTTCAAGCTTGGAGTTGCTCCGAGTGCGCAAGCGAGGCAAGTGAACAGTGACTGCAGTTTGTGTCAGAGCTGTTCCGAATGCAAATGGAAACCCCCGGTTTAAGAATGCCAATTGTTTTGTTCCCTCAGCAAGCCTTTGCGACCTAAGGGAGTTGCGGCTTGAAGGTTCCCTTCATGCAGCTCTTTGGCAAGTTCTCATAGTCCATCCGACAAACGTTTCTGCTTTTCGAAGGGCGGCGTCAGTGCAGTCCACAGGTGTTTGGAGCGCCATCCTTCTCGGACGACGAGGCGCGATCCTGGCGTGAGGCGTGAGGAAGGGAGAAGAATGGCAGCTTGGAACCAGATGAGCGGTAGGACATGACGGTAAAAGCACGAGGAAAAACTTGGGTACATTTCTGGGGACCTGTCAGCGAGGTTTCAGAGTTGAGCGATTTGAATGCGCAACAAAGTGAGTGGAGTGCGGCTTCGAGTGCATTGGCTGCAAGGAAAAGTACATGTTGTTTGCCGGGAAGACATGCTGATGCCTTCACAAAGCTCTGGTGAATGGGGGTGGCTCCGTGCTCGTTCTTCCAGCTCCGGCCCCCAACCAGGCGCTAGCTGTTTTGTTCACACATTCATTGGAGCTTTTTTGGCCTAGATATCCTTCCTGACACGAGGATGCAGAAGCTGAACTGGAGGAGGACGGCCTTCCGCCCAACAGGACCTCGCACGCGGGCAAAGCAACATGCCACAAGCTGGGTTGCCTTGTGTGACACTGCGTAGCATGTTGCAAGGCGAGGTGTACCCCGCAGGTTGTCCAGAAACCTGTTTTAGCGAATCACTCGATCCTTGAACAGGCGAATAGGTGGGGAAACCCTGAGTTTGAGTCGGTTCAATTCTCAGATGTTGAGAAGGACCATGCCGCAGGATGGAGAGGCTGTGTTTGCGAAGCTTTACTCACTGCTACGCCTTCACTGTTCTTGGCATGTTGTTTGGTTTTTTAGTTTGTTGGTTCTGTTCGTTTTTACCTGGGGGGGTACCAAGAGTTGTAGTGCTGCGTGTTTGACCCTGATAGATGTTGAGACTTGTGTCACTTAGAGGTCATCTTCAGATGTATCAACATTTGAGTCACCTGAACGGATGACTCTGTTAATCCCAGTGGCTCAAATGGCTGAAAACAGCCGTGACCCGAATTCCAGTTTCGGAAGACATGGCCGTGCCACCCCTTCGGAGCGAGCCGTTCCGGAACGAGCCGTTCCGCCGTCCCTTGCGAGGAAGCCAGAAGAGGAGATCATGAAGGAGGAGGCGTTCTGGTCCAAAGCCCAAGAGGCGAGAGATGAATAAACGGAATGGCAAATTTGAGGTACTCTGCCACCAATGAACATGGATCCTGACATGGGGTCCCTTGAGTAAGCTTCCAAAATTGTGTTCGAAATGTCAAAGTTGAGACCCTGATGTGACAATGAGTGTTCAACTTGTGAGTCTTCTGTTCGGCCCCCATGTCAACCCTCCCAGTCACGTTAAAAGGAAAATGGTCTTCCAGGACCCCTCTGTCAGTTCGGTGCACATGGGGGCCGAACACACTCATTCTCGCATTGTCACACATACTCCCTTCACAGTCAATAAGTAGGCGAGGCGTGACTCGTTTCACTGAGGCAATTCTTGTTGCTTGGTTTCTTCCAGGTGGCTACATATTTAGTAAATATGATACACACTTAGAAGTACCACCTTAAGTCTGGGGTCCACGTGCCCCTGGCATCCAGGAAATATGACCAAATACCATCTATGCCCATATCTTTGGGCTGTGGTCTTTTGGGGCAACGGCTGGCGCCTTAGATTCAGGGTACAACCAGCATTCGGAGCAAGGCAATTTCTGCACTTCGGCCCCTCCGCGTTTCGGGGATCTGGTTCTTGTCAGGCCTCCAGAGAAATAACAACCTGCCTAGAAAGCGGAAGGTTTGTTAAACAGGGGTCAACATTAGTTTATTTAAGTCTCAAAAAGTCAAGCGTTCACCGAGCTACTTTAAATTGCAGTGTGCCCGCAAGGATGCACAGGGTCAGCCCAAAACCAACGTTGGATAAACACGATACGCAGCCGAAAATCCTACACCAGTCTTGGGCAATCTTGCATCCGTAACCCTGAAGTCCGGCAACTAGCACCACCGGCCGCCAACGGGTCATATTCCCGGAATGAGCTTCCAATTTCAGTACCTTGCACAGGGCTCCTAAAAGATACATTTTGCCCATTTGAGAAATAGGGTTCTTTCCACCAAAATAAAGGGAACCCACCATTTACAAGGCAATGTTCAGGTGTACAGTGCAAGGATCCCTGTTGCACCTGCGCTGGAGTTGGGGACTCTTTGTTTCGAGATGCCTCAACCAGCTGAGAGCATCTTACTTGTTGGGGTTGAAAAAGCAGCACGGGGACGGTCAAAGGGAAACCCGAACACGTGAGTGACGCGAAAACTCAAAGGATGTGGATAAAAGCGATGGCGGCAAGCTTGGGACCCTGGCGCCTTCGAACCATGCATTTCGGGTCCGAAGTGTGAGGCTTTCTTCAGCTCCAAAGAAGCTTTGCCATAGGAACGTCAGGTTCTTGACCTAATGCCTAAAAGGTTCTTGACCTTATGCCTAAAGAAGGTTGCCTTGGCCTTTTGCCAGGTTTGCATCCACCGCCCAGCCCCAACCCCCAGCCAGGCCTTGCAGGACCGTGACCGGCGGGAGCGTTTGCTTCGCTTCATGAAGCCGCTGAGCTCGGTGTTTGGCGTTGATTAATCACGTGGCGGTTCAGGCATTCGCTTACTTAGGGTTCCGATTTCACTTGGGCACTTGGTCCGGTTCCTTAGCTTTTTGCTGGTTTTTCGTTGGTTTAGTGGTTGGGTTTTCGAACTGAACCCAAAGTGATTCACTTCTGCCAGGGGATCTGAAAACGGACAGCCCAGGTCATGTTGCACTCGGTTTTCGGGACGCGTTGGATCTTTTGTTTCGTACCTGTCGGCAAAACGCAATTCAAGTTGCTATCAGCACGTGTCGTTGTGGTAGCCGCGTTGGTCACACTGGGGCGTTGTTGTCTTGCATGGCTGATGCCCCACGGCAAGCCATCTTGGGCAGTCCAACGTTCTCCTCCGAAGACGTATGACACACATCAGAGCGGCTCACTTCGGATGCACTGATGCATTTTTGATCCAAGGCGGCATCGCTTTAAGGACGTCAACAGCAGCAGCGGCTGGTCAGCGAGCCCAGCTGGTGCATGACGCAAGATTTTTAACTGGGCAAATCTACTGAAGAGAAGAGCGCTGGTTTAGTGTGTCCCTTTGGCAAACCTCTTTGAAGCGAGCATTCTCAATGCCATGGTGTTGATTTTTGCACATCTATCTTGTTCGTTCTTTGCGCAGCCGACGACTGGCACGCTGCATGTTGCCGTGAGGTTCTGGAACTTCCGTTTTCCATTGCATGCTGCAGTGGAAGACAACGATGCTGCGGGCCAAGCAACTGAATCCTGCACGAACAAAAAGCTGATGTTCCCAAAGGTTGAGACATGCCATGTTTTGTGGAGGGCGAGGCAAAGCCTTGGGTCCCTGAAGTCTGCTTTCACCGTCACGATTCGGCCTTAAGGCAGAGATGGTTCGCATCTTGCTCCACTTCAAGGCGAAGACAAAGCAGAAGGACGTCAGATTGGGCACAAGGTTTGCCTTTGATCATAGATTTGTACGGGGGTGCCACCAAATTCACCCCCAAATCCACATTTTTCATGTGTTTCGGGGGGTTACACAGGTTCTTCCTGTTTTGCTCAAGTTGACCCTCCTTTGTGGCGCAGGGGACCCTCACGAGTGAAGCACTTGGGTTCCCTTTTATTTTCACCGGCCCCAGGACAAAGGCGGAAGCAAAAGCCAGAACTGTTCAGAGCTAGTGGCCTCCGGTTCCGGCCTGGTTCCGCCACCCCCCCTCTCCCCCCGCAGAGGGAGGTAAGACGCAGACACACACACACACACACACACATGCGCATACACACACATACACAGACAGAGACAGATAAAGACGTACACATACACACAAACACAGACGCAGACAGAGACACGTACACAGACTGATACACACGAACACAGACACAGACACAGACACAGACACAGACACAGGCACAGGCACAGGCACAGACACACACACACACAACACAACACAACACAACACAACACAGCACAGCACAGCACAGCACAGCACAGCACAGCACAGCACAACACAACACAACACAACACAAAACACACACACACACACACACACACACGCAAGCAAGCAAGCAAGCAAGCAAACTAGCAAGCACAAACACACAGACGCAGACGCAGACGCACAGTCACGCGCACACGCACACGCGCACACGCACACGCACACACGCACACGCACACACGCACACACGCACCACACACACACACACACACCCACGCACGCACGCGGGCACGCGCGCACGCACGCACGCACGCACGCACGCACGCACGCACGCACGCAAGCGCGCGCGCACGCGCGTACACACACACACACACAAACACATACGCGCACGCGTACTTGCACGCGTACTTGCACGCGCACGCATCAATGAAGTCAAAGCGCTCGTGAGTGCGTGACGATGGTTTCTGCGATGCCCATTTGGTTCAAGTCTTTTTGACAGTCGTTTCCGGATGTGGCCGGCGCCATGCCGGGCCCATGGATATCCCTCCATGACAATGTTGATTTCATTTATGACCTCGCCTTGGGAGCCAACGATTATCTTGAGACTTCCATGTATGATGACTCACGGGCACCTCAAGGAAAGGCATTGTCGCAAATCATTTCTGTGAAGGCCAAGTTTTCGACGGGGATTTGGTATGAAGGTGAATTGATCGCACTGTCTGATCCCCACCTGTATTGCTGGATCTCCAAGGTCCCGGGAAAGCAGCGGAAACACATTTTCCGCCTTCACCTCTGCACGCAGCTGACACCGGATTGTGACAAGACCCAGAGCGCCTGAGTCGGAGTTTCATTCGGACTTCTTCAGGACTATCTTGGAGGGGGGATGTGATCTCGAATACACTGCGGTGGCTCTCGGAGCCGCCTGCTCACGACGACTACATGAACCTGGTGCCAGCTTTGGAAGGACAGGCAAGGAGACCGCGATACGCACGGGGCCACCCTGATACAATGGAGTTGTGGAGTGGCCGAACTCGAACGATGAGGCAGAGGTTTCGGAAGACGATCGAGCAGCTGACAAGTTCAAGGCTGGCGGAGTCCGTGGTGACTTGAAGAATCTCAAGGGTTGCCTGATGCACAACGCGCCTGAGATCCATCAGGCGCTGCATCAGCCATCCTGCCGCGGGCATCCTTGGGTGCACAGAGCTTCGTCAGACTTTCGCAGGTGAAGTACCCGTGGCGCTGGTGTCAGGCATATGCCTGTGCCACGAAGGCGGCTCTGCGCAGGGTCAGTCCTCAACCTGACCTTGATACACCTTTTTCCTTAGAGGGGTTAATCTACAACCAGGCTGGGGGTCCACCAAGGGATTTCAAGATGAAGGAGCTTGGTCCACCAAGGGACTTCAAGATGAAGGAGCTTCTTGGCGCTGGCGGTTGCAAAATTTTTGCATTCGATGAACGCAGGAGAAGAGGAGGCGCATCTCAAATGGCTTCTCCGCCATGCGTGCCACCGAGGAACTGATGTTCGCTTTGCTTTGCCGGCTGCGGCCGAGGAAACCAGCCTGCAAACGCCTTACCCTGTTTTCGTTGGTTTTGGAAGGCCGTTGTGTCGCACAAGTGGAGCGCAAGCCAACACATCCACATTTTAGAGATTACTGCATTTCTTGCGGAATTTCGTCGTCAGAGACCCTGGAATGATTGGGAAGCGTTTTTTCAACATTGTTGGCAGCATGGTGACTTTTCATGTTGTGTCAAAAGGTCGATCTCTCAGCCGGAGGCTGAACAGGGCATGCCGGCGACTCTTGGCGCTGAACCTTGCGAGCGGGACTAGTGCAGTTTGTCTTTGGACACTTTCCAACTGGATTTTCTCGGATGCGGCTTCCCGCCGCTTTGAGCAACATGCCAGGGAAAGGTGGCAAGTTACACGTCCGATTCAGAGGCATCACTGCAAAGACCCGCAAGCGAGTTGCGCCGCTTTTTCAGTTATCTCCAAGTTTAAGGCTTCCCCATCCCTAGCCCCGCAGTTGAATTAGATTTAGTGTCGGCATACATCAACATGTGTCTTCAGGAAGGCGAGCCCCTCTCCCACGCAGGTTGGATTTTGTCGGCGGTAAAGCGGTTTTTGCCCCGTCTTCGCAAGGAGTTGGCGACCGCGCAACAATTGTACACCAACTGGTCAAGGGATCATGGGCAACTCTCTCAGGCCATGGCCTCTTGCTCTGTCCAGATTCAAAAATGGAGGTTAGCCTTATGTATACTTCTGGGTTTTGTCTTTTTTCTCCGTACCACCAAGATCTGGAGCCTGCAATTGGAAGATGTCCAGGTTTTCTGCATGTCCGGCACTGTAGCAATCGCTTTGCGCAACACAAAGACTTCCAAACAGTTTTCCCAGTCCTTGACCTTTGCTGACCACACGTTTGCTGCGATTGTCCTGGCTGGCCATTTGCAGTTTGTCCCACACAGCCTGCGGACGTGGAGGCGCCACGCATTTGTATTTACAGGGGTGACCCTTGGGGCGCGTAGCCGTCCAAGGAAGGTGGCGCGATGTGCGCACTGCGAGGATTTACCTAGACGGGCGACCTTGCTGGGCTCCACTAGCTTCGCCAAAACGTTTCTCTTGGGGCAAAGTTGTTGTTTTGCGTTTTGGGTTCCCCATTTTGCCTTGTGACCCTGAAACGATTGTTGGCAGAGGCCCATGTGATCTCGCGGCTCGTGAAGAGCCACCTGAGGGGTGAGGACTTTTGTTGGCCAACATTGCGCTGCTCGCCGGCTTGTTTCCGCCTATTTGCAACAGTATGCCTGCGCGGTTTTTTGGTGGGGGGAGTTAAGTCAAAGCGCTCGTGAGTGCGTGACGATGGTTTCTGCGATGCCCATTTGATTCAAGTGTTTTTGACACCCACCCTCATCCGCCGGGGGTGAGCTTCTATGAGGCCTGTTGTGACAGAGGCCCATGCGCGGGTGTGATCTCGCGGCTCGCGAAGAGCTGAGAATCCTTATGCAGGCAGCGAAGCGCTGCGCACCCCAACTTTGACTTGTTTCCGGCTGTTTGCAAAAGTGCACCTTCGCGGCTTTTTGGCGGGGGGAGCTGAAATATGTGTATATATATATGTGTGTGTGTATGGTACCCCCCCCCCCCAGAAAACCTACCGTTTGATGAATTTTCTTTAAACCAAAACTTAGCCTCTATAAATAGGCGGGTCTGTCGTTTTCGCCGTACCCGAAAATAAAAGCGTAAACAATCACGTAAATAAATCAAGCTTTCTGGTTGGCCTGGCCCTTAACAGGAAGAGTCCGTAAATAATATGGTAAATAGTGAGGTAAATTAGTTGTAATTCATTTTTGCTTGCCCGATTTTGAGTGACCCTGCGTGAGCTGGACTTAGTGTCCCTCATGGACAGGGATGTGTATTGGCGAGAATCTTCCCCTTCGCGAATTTAACCTGCTCATATCACTGAAGGAAGGCAAAGCGTCATGAGTCATGAACCATTGGAAGAGCCGCGACAACTTTGACATGAATGTTCATGCGTACTGGTAGCTGCGAGCCACAGTTTTTGCTCGCGAGCATGTGTCGCGTTGGCAAAGCCAAAAAGCTCCGGACGCAAAAACGCGTGCGCCCATGCTTGCGCTTGGGTTGCGTTGCCATGCTAATAGGCAGCCAGAACCCCCACCAAGATACATGTCAATTTGTGTTTAGTGATCATGAGAAAGGAGATGTTGTAGGAACCGAGGACTAGGAACACTGCGTCTTGCCAAAGAACGTCCGGTATGTCCGGTCATTGGTTATGTCAGCTGCGTGAACAACATTAAGAGCATTTTGAGGGCTCTTTCCAACAATCAAGACTTAGTCAGCTTTTTGTTGGGCGACCTTGCGAGGGCCAATCTTGAAGAACATCAAGATTAACGTCTATATTCCTAACATGCACCTGGCGCACAGACACACAGACACCACCCACACACACAAACACACATGCACACACGACTCTACGAGGTTGTCTCCGCGTGGCCGCTGATCCAACCAGTCAGGAGTTGCAAAGGACGATTTTAAGCCTTGCCTTCTTGCAGCTTTGCTTGCCGCGTTGTGGTACTGTCGCGCGTTGTTTTTTTTTTCTCTTTGCCGCGGCTTCGCCTCGTTTGTCCGCAAGACCCGGGAATCCAAGAACCGATTCCAGAAACCCAGTTGAGCAAAGGCCGGAAAAGAGGAGCGATCGATGCTGTCACATGTGCACGCAAGTTCTGCGGACGGACCTCCATGCTCAAAATGTGTCCCCTGAACGGTTCAGAACGGTTCAGCCAGCCTTTTTCTGCGTAAATGGTTGCGTAAATTTTCGCGTAAATTTCAGACAAGTCTTTGCCTTTTTGTGCTTTGAGATTTCGGATCGCTTTCGATGTTCCGATGCCGGCCTGACCTTTTACCTAGGACTAGGAACCGCCAGCCGCGTGCTCGCGAACCGTTCCGAGGAACGGTGGCAACCAAACTGCATGCCCCTGAACCGTTCTGAACCGTTCCGAAAGCATTGGAACGCGTGCCCCTGAACCGTTCTGAACCGTTCCGGAGGCATTGGAACCCATGCCCCTGAACCGTTCTGAACCGTTCTGGAGCCCATCTAGCAAGCAGCGCACAGAGCAGGCGTATAGTTCAGAACCGTTCTGAACCGTTACCGTTCGTCACTCAAGCTTCCCAGGAACCGTTCTGAACCGTTCAGGAGGGATTGCAGCATCATACTATGAACCGTTCTGAACCGTTCAGCAGTCATGGCAGCAACATACCCTGAACCGTTCTGAACCGTTCAGGAAGAATTGCAAGCAGCATGCCCTGAACCGTGCTGAGCCGTTCAGGAGGGATTGCAACATCATACCCTGAACTGTTCTGAACCGTTCGAACCTAGGAACCATTCCTAAGATTGCAACAGCATGCTCAGGAATTGCCCTTGCTTCTGCTCACGCATGCTTAGGCTTACCAACCACGTGTTTAAGACCTAAGATGTTTAGCCTCCTAACATTCGCACGGTAGCTGCTAAGGATTTAACAAAGATCATTCAATCAACACCTTGGGCGCTTGTTATGGAGATGGGAGGGGCGCGTTGGAGCCTTACCTTCTTTTTGCCAATGTTTTGCCATGGGCTTGTCTGATTGTGCGCCTTTTATGTCTGTTCAGGCCTGTTACATGGCAAATGATGCAGCTTCCAGCTTCCAACACTGAGGCACACATTGTTTACATGATCTTTTACGTGTTTCTTTAAGGCCTGTTTTTGTTTACATGAATACTTACATGAAGAGTGACGTGGTTTGTTACATGACTATTGGCCGTTTTTAACCTCCACAGAGATAGAGGCTAAGTTTTGGTCTAAAATTTACTGGTATTTGTGGTGTTTCTGCCTTTTTTGGCGCTTTCGGGAAAGCAGTGACAAGGACATTCTGGAAACTTCAGGCACGATTGAAACCGATTGAGCCCGATTTAAATTTAAATCGGGCCTGGATTCAAGATTCAAGAATGCAGGCCAAACCTATCCAGGGAATCTTGATTCTTGAATCCAGGCCCGATTTAAATTCAACTCGGTTTCAATCGAGGAAATTTAAGAATTCAAGATTGCAGGAAAAGCCTTTCCACGGGATCTTGAATCTTGAATCCAGGCCCGATTGAAATTTCAGTCGGTTTCACCTGAGGCGCCGATTCAAGATTGCATGGACGACTATTCTATGTGATTTTGAGCCTTTCTTAGCTACAGACCCGAGTGAAATGACTGTCGGGGACCGGACCCAAGCTTGCAGGAGGACTTTTGTAGGGGGTGTTGAACCTTGAATCTTAAACATGGGCTTGATTTCTTCCCTTATCCAGATTATGTTTAAATTTTAATTGAGTTGTAAACTTATTGGGAAATGAACTTTATCTGAATTAGGAATTTAAGACAAATTGCCCATTAAGATTCTTTTCAAGTATTTCCTTATTGAAGTCCATTTGAAATATACAAAATCAATTACGGTTTATTGAGCGGCCGTTGGTGGAGTCAATTGAGTGCGAAAAACGCTACACAGCACCGCGTTTTACTGCGTTTTTTTGTCCATAGTAGCGCTGGGGCTAGTAAAAACAAAACGGTTTTGGGACCTCTGAATTATGTGCTTATGAGTTCTATTACTTCAGTTTTCCACATTCTATTCAATTTCCGGCTGAAATTAGAAAAACTTGAACAAGGAAAGACCCCAATCAGAATTTCGATTTTGACGTAGG